TTCATTCGTTCTCCGTCCTTTGTGGATGTCATCATAGCATTAAAAGTACTTCGTTGTGGACACTCTGCAACCCGATGAGGCCTATTATAAAGAAAATTCCTCAATGAGGGTTTATTCCCCCCATTACTCGATCTAGGATCAGTAGGGACTCTATTTTGAGCTAGGTCTCTTCCAGGGAATCTTCGACTCGTTCCCCAACTCGTTGCATTCTCCCCTCGAGCCAACTTGTTCTCACCCGTCTGTTAGGAGCTAACTCCACTTGTAGAAGGCGCCTTACGCTTTCCAGGATGGTCATTATAATCATTTAGGCATTCAGCAGCAGCTATAGCTACTGTCAGATCTTGCACCGTCTGTCTCTGCAACCGAGCCTAGCCCATGGCTTGAGTCTCTCAACGAAATGAAATAATTTATCCCTTTCAGAAATATCATTTATATCTAGCATCAAAGTTGAGAACACTCTCACATACTCTCGTATGGTTATTGTATGGGACAAATCTTTCAACTTCTTACGAGCGTTGTAATCTACATTCCCAGGGAGGAAGGAAATCTTCAACTCATTCTTCAACGCATCCCAAGTAGTAACGAAACACACTCCATCTTTGAACTTCGATCCCCACCATAACTTAGCGTCACCAGCTAGATACATCGAAGCCATCGCCACCTTATCTTCCTCAGACTCAGTGTGCATGGCCCTGAAATATTGCTCCATATCAAACAAGAAATTCTCAAGTTCTTTAGTATCCCTCACTCCATCAAAATGTTGAGGATCAGGGATCTTGGCTCAGACACCCACTCTTTCACTAGGGTTTACAGTCAAACTAGCTACAACTGCCTGAAGCACACTAACTTGAGTCTTAAACTCATCACACCCAAGTTGTATAACACATATGGAATCTCTTTCCTCGTTTTCCAAATCAGTCAATGTCTCAAGCAACTCCTCTTGAGTCTCCTCGACTCTCCTCATACGATCACCAGAGATCATATGAGCTCTAAGGGCTGCTAGCGCCGCTTCGATCTCTTCTAGCTTTCGTTGATCAACCGAACCAGCCTCTTGTACAACCGGCTCGGTAGCTTCCTGCTCTACACCTCTATGAGAGCTTGTTGCTCCGCCATTTCGTGTGCGAACCATTCTCTGTACAATCAGCTCGGTAGCTTCCTACTCTACACCTCTGTGAGAGCTTGTTGCTCTGCCATTTCGTGTGCGAGCCATTCTCTGTAATTTGCTGCCACCTCTATGACTGCAACACAAATAAGCACAATCGTGCCTAAATTAGAAAGGAAAAGAGCACCGCTGTGCTGAATTCATAGCACCTCTATTCTTGAATTAACGATTGAACACATTTGTGCTTCAATCGAGAGCTAACACCTCTGTGTAGCTAAAAGTGATTGAGCACCTCTGTGTAGCTAAAAGTGATTGAGCACCTATGTGCTTCAATCGGGAACTGACACCTCTGTGCAGTTAAAAATAACTGAGCACCTCTGTGCTTCAGCCAAGAGCTGACACCTCTGTGTAGCTAAAACGGATTGAGCACCTCTATGCTTCAATCGAGAACTGACACCTCTGTGCAATTAAAAATGACTGAGCACCTCTGTGCATCAGTCGAGAGCTGACACCTCTGTGTAGCTAAAATTGATTGAGCACATTTGTGCTTTAATCTAGGATATGGCACCTCTGTGCATTAGGATGATTGAGCACCTCTGTGCTTTTACAAACGACCGAGCACCTTCGTGCTGCGATCTATAGCCAAGCACTTCTGTGCTAGGTTTAGTATCTGTGCAACAAGCAGGTAACAAGCACTATCATGCTTTACTCGACCAAATGAGCACCTCCGTGCTTCTAGTAAAAGATCACGCACCTCTGTGCTCTTATACCAAGTGTCACGGACTTAGCCTAGTTGGTTTGGTTGTTAATCCGTGCGGCACTCGAAAGAGACGCTTCCCAACCAAGTCAGCCTTTATTTCGTATATCTGATCAAACAGAAACAAACATCATGTTAGATCTTTGTAGCCACGTGGTCATTCGACCAATAATTCGAGCCCGTGGGGCATAGCGGATGCACCCCGCTGACCCCAGACTTCTCCGTAAAAAAATGTTTTATTAATGAAAAGTAACATCGGGTTACAGAAAACTCACCCACACCATTGATTAGACCGTAGGGGTGGCCCTCGATGGTGTTCACAAGACACATACCTTTACCTGTGGATCAGCCCAAACTCTGTCAGCTGTCCACCCCCCTACATATATGCGAAAACAAAATAACATAAATGCTACCTATAGACATTAAAATGCTCGAACAGGGGACAATAAGTCATACCCCCCACTCCCTACCTTAAACATTGAAATGCTTGAAAAGAGGACAAGCCTATTCTACCCTGCCACTAGGCCCTATACATGGTTGGCCTTAGCGTACCTACCCGGTTGTGGCCCCATAAAAGGGATGGCCACGACAGCAATGCAGCAGTACTTAATAAACTTTAAAGCATGATGACTTTCCCTAATGTAATTCGCATGGTTTGTATTAGTATATAACAAAAATATTATACCAGTTAAATCTAACTATAGTTTGTCTTTCTTTTTTTCTTGAAAGCTAACATTATTATTGTTTTTCTAAATTCTATAATTTCAAGTAATGGTAAAATAATGTATTGTCTAGTGACTTACTAAAGTAATGGTAGATTCGAATGTTTGGGTTGGGATTTAGACAAAAAGGGACTCGAATCTAGAGTAGGGTTGAGGAGAGGCGCATTTTTAGGTGTTTGATGTCCCGTCGGCTCCTCCGTAAAGGGAAACCCGAGATAATTTCTCTCTCTCTCTCAACTTTGAAACAAATGAAAAATGAAATAGGCTTAGGAAAATAAGCCTTAGCTTAGGCTTTTGTCCCAAACCCAAAACGACGTAGTTTTGGACTCGTCACCCATGTTTTTTGAGTCTCCGGGGACAAATAGTCAGTTTGGCCCCTTATGTTTGTAATTCATGATACTAGTCCAGAAATGAAAAGGGTTATTATCGATTTCGAACATTATAACTTTAACAAGTTTACATTTTAGTCCTTTTACATTATTTATATAGTGCAGATTAATTGATGATTTTATCCATTAATTTGGAAATTATTCATTTTAGTCTCGTCGTTTGTTATATGCTCAAAATTATTCTATTTACGTTTTTTATCCTCATAATTTTGTTCTGTCTTTATTGTGATCATTATTTATATTCAATTATTTAGTGAAAGGTCAAAGTTAAATAGGTTGATAACACATTGTATTCTTTATGTAGTTCAAATTTAGTCTTTATATTATTATATTATTATGAGCACACTTAGTTTATTTTTATATCTTGAATATAATATGTATATTATTGTTTTAAGTAATATTTTCAATATTTATAAAAATATAATATTTGAAAATTTCACGTATGTATTTATATATTAATATCAAAAAGTATATCTTTAAATATTATATTAAGTACTTTTGTTTTTTAAGTTTTATAAAATTTTATAAGATTATTTATTAATTATTCGACTAATCCATAGAAGACCTCCAAACATTTGGGTTATGAGGGTTATTCGAATAAATTAATTTTCATATGATTATGTGCTATTCATTAAGTTAATTAAGTATTTTTTTCATTTCAGATAATTTATTTGTGTATATTATTTTTTATTATTTTTCATATAACTATTCAGTAAATATAAATGTTCATTTTCTACTATTTTTTTGTTTATTTATTTCCCTTTGTTTAGTTATTATGTTTGTTTACTCTTTATTTAGTTTTATTATATCTTATTGATATTACATTCATCTTTTATATGTTATTTTATTATTGTTGCATTCATATGTCAAACATTTGTTTTCTCATCGTCTGAAAATTTAAGGACAATATTGTCTCGTGTTGTGGGTTACGAAATTACATCCAATATAACTAGATTGCAATTTCTGTTAATTCACATATAAGGGAACATCCTTTTAAATAATACCAAATGAGTTAAGTAATTTTATCAAGTCAAATATTTCCAAAAAAAAATTCACTTTTTTCAAATCCATAGAAATGAAGAGGATTGTAATTTAGATTTTGAATTTAAATATGTAAAATTCCATGATTTTATACAGCATATAATCGAGGGTACAAGTTTTGGGGTGCTGTGGAGGTGCTCACCCTTCTCTTCGCATAATCGACTCCCGAATGCTTAAAATGAATTTCTAGTCATACGCAAACCAATTTTTGCTTGAAAAATGATTTTTAATTGTTTTAAAAGACGTTTTTAGGTATTCGACATGTCTTACTCAAAGGTCTATGGCAGCTCCAAATTTCAAATTAAACAAAAACCCAAATGTCTTCAAATAAATTCATAATTTTATTTTAATATTAATTTATTAAAAATGATTATGAGAAAAAGAATAACTATTTTTATCTAATGATTTCTAACTATAGAGACCTTCCCCCCCCCCCCCAAATGAACACTTAGGTGAATAATACAAAAGTTTGGCTAATTAGATAGTAAATTTGATTTCTAACCCTTTTTTCATATCTTTAGGTTTAATATTTTTATTTTTGTATGAATTTTAACGACTATTATCTATAATTTTCTCTTTATGTTTAAGTACGTTGTAATGAAACCCAATTGCCATTGTTAAAAGAAATAGAGCAAGAAAACCAAGTGCAGATAAAGAGTTCCATTGAGAAATAAAACTCCAAGCTTGAAAATGCATCAGCATTCTTATCGTATCACCAACGAAATGTGTTTTTTTTTTCCAGGAATTGTCTAACCTTAAAATCAATTTTTTTTATATCTGAACTAAATAAATAAACTGCCTCTTTACTTTCAAGTTGCATCCTCGGTTTAGAACATCATATTACAGCCAAGACAAGCGGCCATTGCAGACAATCATCAATGTCAAAACTAAGATTTCAAAAAACATTGCTGCCAATGTTCGAGTCTCTCACCATTTATGGAATCATTTTGACATTTATTGCACGACGCAAGCACACTTCGGAAGAATACCTGCCTCACGAACCATGCCTCCTATGCTCTTTCTCCGCATAATTGCTCTGGCCCGTTATTTACCCATCTTCGATACCATCGTGATTGTAGCTTGGCGTGTATTTGTGACGCTTCTTCCCTTCTGGCTGCCTGCCCGATGGACTTCCACCTTTTCTTTTCCAGTCATTCACCATGGGAGAAGCATCATCCGCCTCTGTCTCGATCCCCTTAGATGACTGCCCCTTCGTAACATGGTGGTACCCTTTTCTCATTTCCCCATTATCTTGATTCTCATTCCTGGACCAGCTTTGTTGACGTTCTCGCTTGATTTTCTCGTCTTCCGCCACCAATTCAATCCCATCTTCTAGCTCCCTCTCGATAAGATCATCCTCATCCATTACATCATATTTCTTTGTTGTTTCCCCACGAGACTTCCTCCTTTTCTCAAGTGCAGCTTTCAGCTTGTCTTTGTTGATTTTAATAGCTTCTTTGGGGGACTGCCCAACGGGTCCTTCTCGAATATCCATGTTTTGCCTGACCACACTGCTAGCCTTACCATCATCCCACTCACCAGTTACTGCAATTTCATTTCTTCCACTTCTTTCCATATCTTCCCCACCAGTTCGCTCCATTCCAGACCTCGATTTATTCAGAACTTCCCTTGTGTTATCCTTGTGGGGAAACTGCTCATGATGTTGGCTATCCTTGTTCTCCATACTGTGATCCGTAATGACACTACCCATCTCCCGGCTCCCATTATCGTTACTCTGATTTTGAGTGCTCCTTGATGGTATTCCATGGTTGTCAGCAGATGAGTAGTCAGCTGTCGACCATGACTGTTTTTCCTCACTTCCAGAAGGATGTTTTGCCGGAGCCCCATGAGATGTACCACCACCAGCACTTCCTTCTACTTCACTACCCTGAGAAGGGGTTACTCTGTTTTGCTCGTAAAGTTCCAGCATTTGATTGCTAACCTCTGCAAGATAAACCACAGTCGGTAAGTGGAAAAAGAAAGAAAGACAGATTTGCCAAGCATGATTGCAATCCACACAACATGTCAATAAGTAGTCTGACTACCGAAACCAAAATAATTATATGGAACAGATGGCCATAATCATGTATTAAACGTGTCATATTCAAGCAACACCAGTTCTATTGGGACCCTCTAATAAATCTCCAATTATATTCACAATATCTTTTTTACAAAGTTATGGAGAGGACACCAACCCTCTAATTGGCGAGGGGTGACATCAAATTCTTGCCACCAAACCTTCTCACCATCTGATGGAAGCTTCACTTTGAGAAACTTGGCAGCAAGGAAAATGGCACCCGCCGCAATATGATGGGGCTTAAATTGCAGGCAGAGCGACGTCCTCAGCCTGCAAGCCGCTTTGCAGTGTGTCAAAAGAGAACACAAGAGATCGTTTTAAACACTTTGAAGGAACACCACTCAAACATACCCATCGTTAACAAAATTCCACGCAACTTGAGCAAGGGCATTCTGTGCAACCTTGAATTTCTTTATAGCTTCCACAAGAGGTTTATACGGGTGATGAACATTGAGGTCAAAAGCCAACGTGGCAAGTACAACCCTCTCTCCAGTTAAAATTAGCTCCTTTTGTTGCTCATACACTTCCTGCAAGATATATCAAAGTTTATGAGCAACTCAAATAACCACTACTGTGCAAGCAAAAAAAAAAATTAAAGAAAGAAGAATAAATAAAAACAAAATAGCCAAGGTAATAAGAATTCTGACAATATTTAAAGAAAAAGTGAGGCAGGCAGCAAGATCTGTTGTTACCAAGGACACAACTATTGGAGAATAAAATTGGATTCTAAGCAATAATTTTCAAGTAATAAATTTAGACAGAAGGAAAGAGAACATAGCACAATACTGGCAAGTTATATGCCAGAAGACTCAGAAAACAAGTGAAGATGATAACTAAATAAACACGAGAGCAAAGAAAATTAGAAAGATAATACAAATGGACCGGCAAGTGCGAGTAAGTTGGGGAACAATCTCACAAATCGGAGAAAGAAACATAATAGGGAGGACAAGTGGGAACTCAAGCATAAAAAACAAGCGATGCAAATAAAATAATGAAAGCACAACTCAAAGAATACCTTCTGTTTGATTTTCTGGGCTGCAGCCGGATCTTTTTTGTTTATTATCTCATAGGAAACAAGAATAACATCCTTTAATGGACGAGGTGTCTCTTCAACCTTCCCAGCAAGGAACATACACACAGTAGCAATAATCTGTCAAGCAAGGAAATGAAGTTGAGCACAAAATGAGCATAAGAATGTTCCAAATCAATGCTGCCAAAACTTTCCATCAGAAATAAATGATAGGTAAAGTTGACGAAAACAATGATTTTTACAGCCTCTATTATAAAACTTTTCAACCCTTAACCATTCCATTATGCAGATCAACCTTATATCATCCAAAGAAATGCTAACTGAATTTCATAATGAAATGGGATCAAAATACAAAGATTGCTTAGATTGCAGTAGGGAGATATTTAGCTTATATGAAGTTTTAACAAGATTCACCAGACAGAGAATAATAACTCACTCTTCTATCATTCTTCGCATGTGATTGTCGAATGAAGAATCGATGACAAAAGATAATTGATGTGGCTATTGTTACCTGGGGCCTGTATCAAGTAATAAATTCAGTCAAATTCATTCAGTCATAACCGGCAAAAATTGACATGCTTATAAATTCACTCAATGTCACAAGAGCAGATCTATGTGTGATAAGAAAAAATAGAATGTTTAATCAACTCCACTCAAACATTGATGATGATGATTATAGATCGGACCTAGTCACAACAAAAAAAAACCACTGCTGGACCAATAACTATTGATTGTTCGTGTAGAATACTTTTGCAGAAATATAATGCCAGACCAGTGAAAGCATGACAAATATTCATGCATAAAACACATACAACATACTAAAATTTATTAGCAAAGGCTTTAGCTGAGTCACGAATGAGCATAGCAGAAATTCAATCATAGAATGACTGACAGACAACACACGTTAATGATCACCGATGTGCACACGCCAGAAAATCTCCTGCATCAGTCTGATTGCAAACTATCTATCAAGATTCTTTCACTATAGCAGGCCATAGATAACCAAGGATATAGTACCAAGCGGCATCCTATCTAGACCAAAAAATGTTGCAAAAATGATCGGTAGTAGCAGCGCTGACAGGGAAAAGAAAGATCTATTATATTTTTAAAAGCAGAATGATAACAATTAGACCATTTCTCTGTTATGAAATTAAGATAAAGTGATTTCAAGTTCTACTTACCATGCACATTTATTCATTGAAACAATTAGGGAGATGCAATAAATAATATCACAATGTTTGAACACACTGAGATATAACAATGCTAAAGACACAAATTTAAGAACTTTCTACCTAAAATAAACATTAGAAGTCACTTCCATTTTTCAAACTGTTGGAGAGAATTGAATATATGAAGCGATCACAGATGGCTCAATATTTTAAAATGTATGCATTCAATTCTTTCACTATAACAGGTCACAGAGATTGAAGGACAACTAACAAAGAGGCATCCTATCCAAACCAGGAAATATTGCTTAAAGTGATCACTCATAGCAGCTATGAGTACTATTGACACAACAATGAAAAATATATTTTCAAAGGCATACTACTAACATTCAGACCATTTATTTCTCTTATAAAATTATGATCAAGTAATTTCAAGTTCTGCATTTCCATGCAGATACCAGCACTGAAACAATGAGGGAGTTACAATAAATCACTCTTAGCGTCTGAACATTAAAATATAACCATGCCAAGTACACAATTTCAGGAATTTCCTACTTCAAATGAACAATAAAAATTACTTCTAATTTCATGTCCTAAACGTTACTGTGACATTGTATACATAAACTGATAACACAATTTATGAACTTGCTACCTAAAATAAACATTAGAAGTTACTTCCAATTTTCATGCTATAAATTTTATTGTGAAATTGAAGACATAAATTGATCATAGATGGGACAGACATGCATGCACGCACGCGCACACACAAACCAAACACAAATTGCGTTTAACTTTCTATTTCCATTACAGTGATGCTTCATGATCAGAATGACTACTAACAAAACCCAATACTCAAGTTCAACAGGACAAATCAGCAAAATTACATAAACTGACCAGAAAAACATTGCATCCCCATGTAAACCATGAACTTACACTTTCAGCCTCACACCCAAATCTTGCAAGAATGTACAGTATGACTTGCGTAAGTATGTCTCTTTCTTCAAGTCAATACCATCCCTTCTTGATGGGGAGCTTTCTTCAATTTCTTTTCTTGAAAAATACCACCGACCTACTTCCTTTTGCTTTTCTTGAGAACTTCTAGAAGGCCCACTATCAGAGGTTGAATGATGTGAGGAATCCCCAGGTAACATTCCTGTCATATTGTATATATCTCCCAGCTCTAACAAAAAAGATAAGCTCCTATAAGAGGAGCAAGACTTTATTTCATATCAGCCTTAGGACTATTCTGATCAAAGATATAAAGGTAAACACGAATGTAAGAGATAATTTTAAAAGCAAAACGGATTACAGTTTAATAAGAAAAATGAAAACAATAAACAAATGACCAATTATGTAACATGTTCAACTACAGAACTTGTACCAAAAGGAAAAAAACTGCAGCAAATCTGCAATGGCATGAACAATAGAATGTTCATCATTGCCTAATGGAATATCTCATTTTAGACTTCTATTATAGTGAGCTGTCCTGTACGGCTGTACTATAAACTAAATCTCCCACGCAAGTTCTGTAACGTTGAAAGCCTAATGGTTTTGACATCAAAACATGATATAGCAGAATCTTATATGACTCCATATTTCTAATCAAATTCTTCTTTAGCACATCCCAACCTTCTCAATGAGATTTTTTACCCAAAAAAAAATCCTAAATATTGAACACTTGGGTTGCAGAATGAAGCTAACTAAAAATGCAAATACTACAACTCCATGATCCTTAAATATTTCATTTGATACGCTTGAAAAGGGAAACAAAAATATTAAATGCTAGCAACAATAAAGAGAACACCATGCATAGTGAAACTTGTTAAGACATATACCCCAATAGCTCATAATAGCATAAGCACAATTTGGAAAGAATAATCAATTTTTTATAAGTACAAAGACTAGAAACCTAAAACAATCCATAACCCAACAAAAAAAATATATATTAAAGCCACTAAAACTACTGCTATGAACTTCTGAAAATAACAAAAGGGAAAATATTACCATCAACAAGAAAAGAAAGTACATACAATATTACATATGAATTTCTAACGAATAAAGGCTCATAAAAAAGAAAACATAATCGTATAAATATAAAATACAGAGAAAATGTCCAAAATTGAAAGAAAGAAAAAAGTAATTTTAATCGCGAAGCAAAGGGAAAATTAGTAACTGATATTAAGGCATGTTATTTATCCTTTAACAGCAACGACAGAGCTGGTGGGGGAGCAAAAAAGAAAGTGGAAAGGGAAAAACCTATGTCAGGACGAACCCACTCTTAGGAGAAGCAAATTGGAGGATTGAGATTTCAGAATCATAAAATTCGGATAAAGAACGGCTGGAACTTAAAATTATTCGAAAATTGGATCCGAAAGGCCTTTATCTATCGATTGAACTAAAAAATCCACCTATAAATTTCGTTTCTTTTAAAGAATACTATAAAATCTAATAAATTTAATATATAAGGAAAATAAAAGAAGAAAACCTGGAGGCGGAGGTCGAAGCTGCCCTTCGCTGCTCTCTCAGTGCTTTCTTTATCCTTTGTCTTTGTTTTTCCTTCCGCTTTTATATTTCTGCTTAAGAGCAACTACGCAATAGATTTTGAGGTTTATAAGTTGATATTTTGAAGGCATAATGCAAACAAATATTTGTATATAAATGATTTGGGTTTGTTTAGGATTAATGGATTTGGCTAAATGATTTGGTTTATGCCTTTGTATCTAATCATTTGTTAAATATTTGGGCTTTTTAATTTGTGGGTTGTTAATAGCAATACAAATTGATGTGAAAATCTATTATGGTTATTTTTTTTTGAATTGGGTTTTATTTGGGTTTTGCACGAAAGGGTATATATTTGGGTTTGTGCATCTATTATTTGAGTTTACAGTAATGAATTGAAGGTGAAAATCATAATTTTGATGCATATATCATCGGTGGGGATTGCATTTTATAGGGTATATAAGTGGTGGGGACTATATGTTTGGATTTTTTATTGGGAAAGTGGTCCCTCCATGTTCATGCATCCATTGTTTGTTTTTTTATTGCGAAATGCAAGGCAAGCCAACTATCTTTCTTGGGTTCGGTTTTTTCAGATGATGATGATTTTTTGGTTTTTGTTTGATTCAGTGTTGTTTCATAGTTTTATGATAGATTAGTTCCTTATACGATTAGTTTTAGATACTAGTGTTTTTTGGTATTTAAATATATAGATTCTCGTTCGAGCTTGTTTGCTTAATAGTTTTGGAGAATTGAAGACCCGAAATATGTATTTTGATTGTCATTTTTTTGCATTGTGGTCTGCTGAGGAATGCTTCGACTTGAACAGACAATTCTCGATTAAGTTCTTGATCTGGATAGTTCAGTGTCAACTCTTGATTTAACTCAATATAAATTAGGTATGACCTTTCTCAACTTTAATTTTTTAATAATTACACTCTTAAACGGTTTAGTGAATCCTTAGTTTTCCCCTTTATCTTTTCATTCCATGCACTTGAAATTCCTGTGGATATGCAGCGTTTGGTAAGAAATATACAAGTTTTGTTTGCAATATTTATAGCTACTTTTGACTCGTAAATGTTGAATAATGTTATTCTGATATAAAGACTTCCTTCTTTTTGGCCACTGTTTGCACATTCGTAAGTTTTTGGGACACTAAATGTGCTGTTATGTTTGGAAAATGCATTTGATTAAAATATTTTATCGAGCATTTGTATGTCCTTGTTAGCATATTGGCTTTTTGTGATGGATGAAGTGATTTTATTTCTTTTCCTGAAATAAAAAATGGTGAAAGCTTAACTACCTTTTAAAGTATCTCTTCCTTTTTCCCTGCACAGATTTTAGCCACTAATCTTATTGAGCAACTACCAATTAATCTTGGGAAGCTTCAGTCTCTGAAAGTTATGATACCTGATAGGAATCAAATTACTACCACGCCAGATGAATGTAATACCCTTTCCTAGATAAGTAAGAAAGATCTAATATATACCCATTTCTTTACCTCACGACAATGTTTGCAAACTTCATGGTTTAATTAAACTGAAGATTTAACATGGGTTAAATAATCTTTTGTTTCATTATGTAACCAAATAGCATGTTTGGCCTGATGACAAGGGCAATCCCCTTTCACAGCTTTGCCTTGGGTTTGAATCTCTTTTTATGCAAATAACAACCTTTAACTTATTTTTGTCAACACGCACCTTGGTGCAAAATTCTAATTGAAATTAATTTTTTAAACAAAAAAATTGCTGACGTGTTAATTCCACGTCAGCATATATTAGTGACGTGGACACGCCACGTCATCATTGTTGTCCACCTGTGTTTGCTTAGTCAGCTGGAGCCATTGACCGTCAGTTGTCCAACGAGGGTGATTTTTGACCCAAAATGAAACATGAGGAGGTCAAATGCTCTAAAAAATGATTTGGGCACAATTGCATATAAGGTCAAACGTTAGGGGTATTTGTTTGCATTATGCCTATTTTGAAATGGTTTTATAAATGTCGCTAAACTACATATTTTGTCATCCAACTATTTTCATTGTTCCGTTTAATCACTTAAATAATTTTTTTCAAAATCATATATAATACTACATTTGAGTTCCATTTTAGTCATTCACTGTTAAAAAACTAACAATAATGTTGATGTGTCATCATAAAGTAATGTTACATTATCACTGAAAATAAAAAAAATTATCATGTCAGCAGTTTTTTTAGTTTTTTTTTTTTAAAAAGAAGTGGATATCCAAATCAAACTAAAATATAAAATTAAGTATGATTTTAAAAAAATAGTTAGATGAATAAAATAAAATTATAAAAAAATAATTGGGTGAATAAATACATAGATTACCCTACCAAATTTACATCCCTCATTTTCTCATTTTACGTCAAATTTGAACAACAATTTCTTTAAAAAAAATTGGAAAATACTTAAGACTTTAATTTTCCCTTTTGACAATAAAAGTGCACTTTTTATGATTTGTCTTTCAAATTTTCACAGTATTCAATTTGGTCCTTTAAATTTAACTCATTGCAAAATATTTATTCACATCAATTCATTAATTGCCTTAGTGAAATAAATTATCTTTCAAAATGATCCAAAAATGATTTAAATTTTTTTGGGTGACATATGGCTTTGGTAATAAAAATGTGTAAACTCTACCTTTTTGCTAAAAAATTGTTATCAAGATCAACATTAGGTCTCGGTTTGAGGGCAATTCATCAAGGTAAGGCCCGATATTTCGATCAACAAAGTGTTTGAGCTAGGAGAGCACATAATATGGGCAAAGAACCCATGGAGAGCAAACCACTGTGTCGAAACCATTTTTAGGTTGAACAATTGTTTTATTATTTTAAAAACAGTTATGATTTTTAATTTTGGAAAATGGGTGATTTGAATTAAATTGGATAGAGTCGACATCGAACTTTAGGTTAGGTAGGGCGAATACCTAAAAAACGTCTTTTAAAAACAATTTTAAGAAAAATCATTTTTAAGACAAAAACTTGTCTGCGTTTATCAAATATTCGATTAAAACGAGTTCGGAAGTCGGTTACACGCGGGGAAGGATTAGCATCCCACAACGCCCTAAATCGGTACCTAGTCAATTAATTAATGTATTTGCAATGAAATTTACAAATTCGAATTTAATTTGATTTATGATCCCCAACAAAATAATAACATACGAATTTCACCGTATTCAAAAACACTCAGATTGATTAAGTTAAAATTATCTAGCCTTTAGAAAGATAAAGAATATTTGATTATTTAAAAATATCGAGACCAGATTTTAAATAGTTATAATAACTTTTTCCTGATAGATTTAAATAGCTGAACATTTTTTTTTCTTCCATTGCCAAATTTTAAAGTTGTGATGAGTCAATTTCTTAGCTGCCACTGATGGGACACACTTTTATTTTAAAATCGTTAAAAGCGGACCTCGAATAAGTTAAGACAACCTACTTAAAACGATTTTAAATTAAAATTATGTAATAATTCGAGTTATGCACGAGCATATTATACGTATGAATATGTCGTCATATGAAAATCCTACATGTAAATAAATGTACATGAAAAGAATCATATGAAAACGTGTATTAGGCTATTTAATGGAAAGCTACAAAATATATACATGCTACAATTATTTAAAAGCATAGGCTTTATTTGATAAAAACCAAACTGCCTTGAAAAAATATAAACATGCAATTACAATTAATATAATATATATACATATATTAAG